TAATATCTCAGAATCTCTATCAATAGTTTTAAATGGTTTCTTAGGAAGTTTGGCTTCTACACATATTTCACATTTTTCATCATCTTTTATATTAAGCTTTGGAATTATATTGAGATGCATCAATCTTTTAATTGAATTATAATTCACATGTCCTAATCTTTGATGCCAAGTGATGGAAGGTTCAATATTCAAAGCTATTGGAGATGCAAGAGTAGAATTCTTAACATTCAATTTAAAAAGACCATCACATAAGAAACCTTTTCCAATGAAGTTCAAACCCTTAGTTATTACAACTTTATTTGATTCAAAAACAAGTTTGTAGCCTTGTTGCACTAATAAAGATCCGCTAATTAAATTTCTCCTAATGTCTGGTACATGATGGACATCCTGCAGGATCAAAGTCTTATCAGAAGTCAGCTTTAGGTTGATCCGACCTATTCCGGATACAGGAGCCACATTATTATTTCCCATTGTCACAGTTCCTCTACTTGAGACCTGATAGGTGGAAAACAAAGATTGATTAGAGCAAACGTGAATATTAGCTCCAGTGTCAATCCACCAATCATTTGCTTGAAAGGTCATGTTTACTTCAGGAGTGAAGAGAACAGACCTGAAAGCAGCCTCAGCTGGACTGGAAGTCACCATGTTTACTTGTGACTTATTAGGTGGAGGTCCTCCCTTCCTAGGCTTGGGTGGTTCAGTTTTCTTGAAAAAGCAGTCCTTAGCAAGATGGTTGGTTCTTCCACAAACGAAGCAGGCTCGACGTTCAGCTCCTTCCTTCTTTTGAAAGTGGACAGGGTTCTTATTTTGATGAAAGGATTTCTTCTTAAATGTTTTATTTTGATTTTGGTGGAAGGGACGTTTCTTGTGTTGGGGAAAGGGTTTGGATTCAACATTGTTTACTTTAGGTTCTTTAGGTTCGGATTTTGTCACATTTTTCTCCCTGAGTCTATGTTGCTCTTCAATTCTAATGAAATTCAACACTTGTTCTAGTGTAAGATCTCCTTGGGTATGGTTAAGGTTTTTGGCAAAATCTGACCAGGACTCGGGAAGTTTGTCTATAAGACAGGCTATCTGAAATGTTTCATCTAGGATAGATCCATTCACTTTTAATTGGTGAACTATATGTTTGAATTCATGAATTTGCTCATTCATTGGTTTAGAATCTATCATTTTAAATTTGTTAAAATCAGAAGCTTTAAATCTTTTAATTCCCATATCATCTAAACCATACTTTTTCTCTAGGGTTTCCCACAGAACTTTAGCATTAGTGATAGTATAATATATATCATATAACCTATCAGATAAAGCTCCTAAGATTATGTGTAGACAATGATACTCTATTTCTTAAGGTGTTCTCGGGATAGGAATGGAATCTGTGGAGGAAGATGAGGAAGATTGCCTAGTAACTGGTCTAGATGAAGATGGGTTATCTGGTTCTATGGCTGTTATTAGATGTAGGGTTGTTAACCAAAATCTCATTTGGTTTTGCCAACGACGAAAATTATTCCCATCAAACTTCTCTGGTTTAGCAGACATAACTTCACTTGTAGCCATAATCTGATGATGAATGAATAGTTTTGTTATTATAATGCAACAGAAATATATAAAGCATTCATTCAACAGAATAATCATGCATTGTAACATTTCGTTTTTAAGAATTGCAGACAACATTAACATAAAAACCAGAATGTTAATCATGTTACTATTCTAAACAGCACAAAATTAGTTTCTTGGAATGTTGGGAATCTTAACTGTTTAGACAATAACGAAAATCAGTTTAAACAATTTGATAATTAACAGATAATTACTATTATAACGCAGATTCTTGGATTGTTAGGAATATTAGCTGTTTAGACAATAACGAAAATCTGTTTAAGCAATTTAATAATTAATAGATAATCACTATTATAACACAGATATAAGAAATATATCAAATGAAAAGTAAATAAAGTTAGAAATACGGCCTGATGGTCGAGGCGTGCAAGCACTGTCCCAAGAATCTAATTGCCCCCTCTCGTATAGGGTTACGTGGCAAAAGTTCCCGGAGATACAACGATCCTCGGTCAGGCGACCTCCTTCTCGTCGGTACGAGCTTCAAGAAGGCTTTGCGAACTCTTCTAGACTTTCAGGGAACCAACAGAATATAATAGCAAATATTTTGAAAGAGAAGAAGAGAAGAGAAATTCGTTTGTAAATCTGTGTCTTTAGCCTTCGGCAGGTGTTGGTTTTTATAAGGGAAAAAACAGCCGTTACAAATCCCGCGGATTTAATTCTCATAAAAACTCGATTCGGTTTTAATTACCGATTTAATTCTCATAAAAATTCTTTTTCCGTTTTGATCAAAAAATAAAAATGTAGCGGATCAAGAGCCCCTCACTCCGGAGCTGCATTCGTGTCCGCAGGTCGTGGGCGCGCGCCACCCGACCCGAGCCCGAGCCCGGCCCGGCCGCCGCGCGCGTGTGTGGTGTGGAGCATAACCTTTTATTTTCTTCTAGGCATAGGAGAGAAAGGGAAGGCATATAAAGACCCTTCCTTCTTATTCCATTTCCTATGTGGGACTAAACTTTTCCTCTTTTCCTCAACAAACCCAAGTTTTAAGTTACAACTCCAACATTATGTATGTATGAGGTATGATTTATGCATGGATGCAGGTGTTTTATGTAAGCATGTATGTGTTTTAAAATATATTTTTAAAAGAAATGTTTTAACATACCAACCCATTTTTATAATAATATTAAATTAAAGTTTCAACACGCATGATTAAGGGTTAAACAAATATGGAACGAAACAAAAAGCGCATCGTAACAACCCTATATAGAATAGATGTATCCCGAAGATCTAGACGTGTACGTATCAGATTGGACCACGTCACCTCGTTCAGAAAGCAATTCTCTCATCAGGGCTCCAAAAGGAGCGACAAGTAGACACGTGTACGCCACTCCAAGTGGTAAGGGACACGTAAGCAGCGAGATATTTTGGTCCAAGACGAGGATATTCCGCAATCAGGACACGCGTCAGTAGAATATGACATGCCGCAGCATCTGACTCCCCAATCTCCTTAGGGGACACGTGTCGGGATCACGAGTCCAGTTTCCCGTGATTGATCCGAGGATTGACACGTGTATAGCTGTTGCCTGGTAACGGGAAAGCAATTCGTTAAGATGTGCCTCCGGAAGAAATTGTGCTTATTGTTTTTCATGAAATAACGAGAACTTTAGTGGCGTTTCGGTTTGTGTAAAATTCACAAATTCCCCTTGAGTCTGGCCATTCTCGGATAGCCCCTTGAAGTGTGGATCGTTCCTTGTGAACTTTGGCGCTACTTCTATCTTCATTCTAACTTAGGGGGAATTTCGTGAAGCCCCTTGGAGTGTGGATTGTTCCTTAGGTAGCCCCCTTAAATTTCAAATTGTCACAGAATCTCTGTAAGTTTTGTCAAGGCTAAACTGACGGTATCAGATGGGTTTTCTAAAAAATGTTTAAGAACCCTAAAACTTAAGGGGATTATCTTAAAAACACCCAAACTTTAGTGATTATCTGAAATTTACCCATGTGAATTTCAAAAGTCAAAGGTAAAGGGCGACAGTGTGTAGTCCACACGCTTAACATATCGCTATCATGACACGTGCCGGAATCCCCATAAAATGGATCAATCTATTCAAACTATATTTTGATGATGTACACAACATCAGCAACAACAATCAAAATTACATTTAGGGATGCATCAATTCTATTGGCTCAAATCAAAATGTAACAATTCATTTCCTCCTATATATGTTTAACACAAACACACGTACGCACACACATATATACATTCTTGTGAATGTACCAAATATAAAGACTGTTCAACTATTAATGTACTTGTTTAATCAGATAGTATAGATGATGCCTAGTGTACGAAAGAATAATGAATTTGATGGTGTATAATCTGATAAAAAGATCATTTATGCCCATTTATAGACTTATAGACGAATACAAGTCATTCAATCCGAAGACCTACCAACAGGCGACATGAGAGATTAGCATCCACAATCCTATATATCTGAAAGTACTAGGCATCTATCTTGATAAAACTACACATGGATGCAAATATTTGAAAGCAACCAATAAAAACTCGACACCCGAATATCATAAACTTAAAAGGGTGCTGCTTGCAAGACAAAACTTCTCAACAGGAGATTGGTTCGATTTCAACAGTAGGTAAGGCAGAAACTATCTAATTTCTTCTCTCTATCTCAGTATATATATCAAGGAAACGAAATATTTGATAATCACCGCACCGATCTAAAGGATTAACGATGTTGAGAACTAGTTGTCTACATGGGGTGGGTTTGATTATTATTATTATTATTATTATTATTAAATGCATGTATCGAAACTGTAGTTACATGCAATTGAAATATTCTGAATCAGTTTACCTATATTCATTTCATTGCAATAAAACTAATAAATATATATAGTTAAAAACACCTCCGGCTACAGCAGACGACTTACACGTACGGAATAATCCAACTGCCGCTCACTGTTTGACACAAAAAATCGCTAAAATCATAATAAATACGGGCACGTGTAGGTATGACTGCAATCACAAATAATGAAATTTTAAATCGTATCGAGCAACGCTTCCATTTCAGATACAACTTCAAAACAACAATAATTCTTTAAGGACCCAAAATATGGGACCAATAGAGGGGACAAGTGAGGTGTCCCCCTTCTATTGGATAATAAGTTGGGCATCATTAATGATGACCAACTCATTATCCAATAAAAGAGGGACACTTACTTGTCCTCTTTATTGGTCTCATATTTTAGGTCCCTGTAGCAAAGCTCTCAAAACAGACTTGATACAAACGTACGCGGCACTTCCACTGCAATTACGGTGGCAGAGGAGGGAAAAAAAACAAACCAACCCGCAAAAAGTTCCTGCGGATTACCAAACCCAGACAAAATTTTCTATATAAAACAACCCTAAAAATCCACAAACACAAACGCAACAGAGAATGGATCCATCACTCAGCCACCTCCCCTCAACCTCACCGCACGAGCCCACCAACGACGACAACAACACCAAACCAACACACACACCGGCATCCATAAACGAGCAGCGTCCTCCTTCCTCGGTCTTCCGGTCGCTGAACTCGACCCCGCCGTCATCTCCGTCGCGCCTGCCGTCAGCCGCCGCTTCCCTGCGCCTGCCCGTCGCCAAGCCGGTCTCTCTGGCGGCGAGCCTCTGGCGTTTCTCCCGCCGCGCCTCGCGATGCGTCTCGACCCTCTCCTGCCGCCCGGTGCCGCCACCTCCATCCCGGCGCGCGCGGCTCGGCACTTCGCATTCGCAAAGCTCCTTCTTCTTCTGCTCCGGCTCCTCCTCCTCCTCCGTCCCCGGCCACTTCGTCCAGGTTTCCAGGTTCTCGAAAACTTCAGGCAAGAGTTTCCTGCACAAAAGATGTCATGGGGATCTGCTTTACGTCAGCGACCCCTGCGAGCATTGCGTTGCGGGTGGGGATGAGGAGGAGGATCTGGGGATGTACAGGGGGGTTTTCCGGGGGTTTATGAGGTCGAGGACGAGGGCGTGTTTGATAAGCAAGCAGGCGAGGCTAGAGAACAGGGTTAGGTGTCCTTATTGTGGAGCCAGGGTTTGGAGCATGAGAGGGGCGAGGATGGTGCCCAAGAGCGCATCAAGGAGGCTGGGCTGTCCTGAAGAGGGGCTCGAGTATTTTGTCTGTGTTAATGGACACTTGCATGGGATTTGTTGGTTAGCTCACTTGTCTGATGATGGTGGTGGCGGTGATGATGGCGAAGATGGAGAGGACGAGGATGATGATGACGAGGATGAGGACGATGGTGACGGGCACATTGCCTATTGAGAGGGAGAGATATTGGCGATTTTGTTGATTTGGTTCTTGATTTGTTGTTTAATTTACTTTTTGTGTTCGATTTTAGTGTTAATGCTGAGCTTTAGATCTGTAGTTTGTTGTTCCCAAGTTTCACCGTTGGTAACGTTTAATTTTGTGTTTCATTAGTTGGGATATTTTGGGGTTAGATGACTTTGCTTGCAAGTTGCGAATACCTGACTATACTAATTCTATAGTTATCAACAAGTTGAAACTATAGGCGGTCCTGGGCATACATTTTTACATACACCTTAAATCATGGGCATTGGCAAATATACTCTCTTACTTTTAGTATTTGCAAAACGACCACTCAAATCATTAAGTTTGGAGGGGGAGAAGCCCTCAAAGCAATTAGTTATCAAACTTTCATAACCCAATTTATAATTACAGTGTAAAAGTTATCAACGAAAAAGTGAAACTTTTTGCACTTGGTTAATGATTTATTGACTTTTGGGGCAACTTTTCACAAAGTTGATGATTCAAGAGGTAATTTTGTAGATACTACGACCTGGGGAGTGTTTTTGCAAATATCGTAGGGAGTATATATGCAAATAACCCTTTCTACAACTATACATACAGTGGCGGATCTGTTCTTGTTCAAAGTGGTTCATTTGAACCACCTAAGATATGTTAGTTTGTAGCCTAGTGGTATAAGCATTAGCTTACCTTCAAAGAGGTCAAAGGTTCAAAACCTCCTACAGCTCTTTTATGTTTCTAATTTCTCCTATAATCCTTATTTTCTCTTTACATTTCTACTTTCTCCTATTTTCTCTTTATTATTATTTGTTTATTATTTTAATGCTTTCCTTAGTAGTATTTGAAAAAAAAATAGCGTTAATTTCGAACCACCACACGAGAGGTTGTGGATCCGCCACTGTATACATATATGGGTACTTGGAGAGACATTAACAATTTAATAATGTATTGCAAAGAATGGCAAGAAACTGTGGGTGCACATGGATTGCAGTAGAGAAGCAAATTTGATAAGGGAAAAAAAGGAAAATTTTCATACTTTTTTACAACAAAAAGGACATCTTATTCTAATTTTTTTGTTTCTTAGACTGACAGAATGTACCCAAAGTTATATCTTTAGCAAACCTATGTAATACAATACTTGCGTTTCAAGGAAACTGAAGACCCCACCTTTTTTGGTAAGAGTGCTGCTACAAGGACCCAAAATATGGGACCAATGGAGGGGACATGTGAGGTGTCCCCTCCCTATTACATAATAAGTTGACATGACCTAACTCATTATGCAATAGGAAGAGGACACCTCACCTGTCCCCTCCATTGGTCCCATATTTTGGGTCCTTAAATCATTTTCCTTTCGGTAAAGACTCTATAAGCATTCTATCACGGATTAAAAGCATCCCAGAATACAGTTTTCTATTGAAAGTCCCTGGTTAATTTTCTCCACTTTGGTTAATTTTCTTAAGTGATGATATACTAGAATAAAACTTTTTTTTTACTGCTGAGGCTTATTGGATAAGTAACAAAAATCTGACTCGGAGCTCTATTTCATCAACGAATATATGCTTGAAATCAAATCACAACATGACATCCAGACAGCAACTGAAATTTGCTGCTTGGGCTGAATGCAGCTTTCATAGGTGCTGAGGCTTTGGATAAGTAACAAAAATCTGACTCGGAGCTCTATTTCATCAACGAATATATGCTTGAAATCAAATCACAACATGACATCCAGACAGCAACTGAAATTTGCTGCTTGGGCTGAATGCAGCTTTCATAGTAACAAAAATCTGACTCGGAGCTCTAATTTCATCAACGAATAATGCTTGAAATCAAATCACAACATGACATCCAGACAGCAAACTGTAGGTGCGGTTGGGCTAATGACCAGCTTGCATAGAGGATGCCTAATCGCAGAGTTAAATGTCGTATTATTAGAATCCCCCCCCCCCCCCCACCCCACCCAAAAGGATCAAACCAAGACCTAGGTGTAGGATTGGCCAGGAAATGAAGCTGTAGGATTGGCCAGGAAATGAGCTCAGGAAATCGATCTGCAGTTTTGCGGCGGTGACCGCAGGTTTGGGCGTGTCGACCTGAATTAGATGCTCGAAGGGGATAGGCGGCAACCTGTGGCGTCGACCGTGCACGGTCGACCGCAAGAAAGTTCTGTAGTTGATGGCGGCGACCGTGATTGTGTCGACCGCGATGATCCAGGACTCCAGTTAAGCTCTGAGTGCGGGCGGTCGATCGTAACGGTCGACCGCGATACCTGCACTGTCGACCGCCGAAGCAGGTTTGGGGGCTGATTCAGTTCCAGACCCGTTTCGTTTGGGAGTTGTATATATACCCTTAACTCGTTTTTAGGGTTTAAGGGAGAGGATTTTGAGCTGAAGAAAGAGGAGATTTGGGGCTTTTATTATTGGAGCCATTTGGAGAAATTAAGAGGGCTTATTTGTGGGTTTTGGTAAGATTTGTAACCCTAATTTGTATTCCCCTT